CTGCACGGCTGACCACGTAGCCCATCAAAGGGCTGGCCACCAGGCAGGCCTCTCTGCCCCCGCCACGCCAGCCCCAGCCCCAGCCCCAGCGCCCTCACCGGCCGCCGCAGAGGAAGAGCAGGTTTTGTACGGCAGGGACGGTGGAGTTGGCGTTCTGGCCCGTGACCAGGTGGCGGTCCAGCACGACGTGCACGGCGTCAGGCTCGCTGGCTGAGGACCACGGACACAGGCGCAGGTCACGCCCCGCACCTACCCCACCAGCTCCGAGGGGCCCCGGATTTGGGCTCCCCCACCCTGCCCTGCTGCAGCAGGCTGCCCCCACCAGTCTCCCAGGAGCAAGGGGTGCCCGCGGGGCTCACCACTAAAGCTGGCCCCCGAGTCCTTCACGAAGTCCTCCACCACGAGCGGCAGGCGGGCGAAGCCGGGAGCCCTGACGAGCTCGTACACGGAGGGCTGTGGGGGGAGAGCCGCTGGGCTGTGGGGACGGTTGTTGCAGGGGGGAGGTGACCTGAGCTGGCATCCCCGCCCTGCACCCACCCCTGCCCGAGGCCACGTCACATCAGACAGGGAGCCTCACCTACCCTGTGTGGCTGGGCTGGGTGGGAGGCAGCGGCCCTATGGGGCCCCCTGGAGTGACAAGGCTTCTGTGGGTGGGGGACGCTCCCAGCATGGAGGCACAGGCTACGCAGGGAGAGGCAGGCTGAGTCCCCGGGGGCGGTGGGCAGAGGACTAGGAGACTCACACAGGGTCACGCCACAGCCTCCCACGGCAGGCCTGGGACAGTGGGCTTGGTGTCTCCTCAGAGGCAGCACCAAGCGCCCACGGAGAAGCCCCTTAGCAGGGAAGGTGACACCTGAGCTCGGGGGAAGGGAGACCAGGCCCCTTTTACTTCCTGTAAGGGCCAGCGTCCCCAAGCAGCCCCAGCGCTGGCCTCGTGCCACCTCTCTCTCCCTCAGGCCTGCCACACCAGCTGTCCCCTTCCCCACAGCCTGCTCTTGGCTGCCTTTGGGTCTCAGGGCTTCAATGTGTCCTGTGTCTCAAGGACCCACCCTGCGGGCCTTTATCACCTGACCAGCACAGGCTGTTCTGCCACCCCTACGGGCCCCTGCCCTGTGCTCCTGCCCCAACTGCCCCAGCCACACGCAACGGCACTCTAAGCAATGTGGGGACAGGGGGCGCTGGTGGCAACCTCGACAGCAGCAGAAACCCGCCCTAGATGAGGCACTCACCCCTGTCAGGCTGCAGCCGTGGAACACCCAGGAACCGTCCTCGTTGGTGGCACAGCACAGGGCGGCAACGCCGTGGCCGACGGCACAAATGGGCTCTGAAAACAGCACAGCAAGGTGGGCCTGGCCTGGCCTGCCCACCACGCAGGCCCGCAGCCCGCTCAGAGGTCCCGCACTACCCCGAGCTGCTGTTTCAGGGCCACGCTGGGGTTTCAAGCCCAAACCTCTTCAGGGCGGGGTGCCCAGAAACGTGCTCGGCAGTCCCAGGGCAGCCTGGGCTCCTGGACCTAGCCCCCTGCCCATACCTGCCCTCTGCTGCAGCAGACTCTGTGGGAACAGCCACCTCTGGCTGCAGCAGGGAGCCCCAGGCAGGGTGGGAGGTGCCCAGGAAATGCTGGCACCCTGCACGGGGCCACCCTGGCTCCTCCCCGAACACTGCCTGGCTCCAGTGCGTTCCCACAGCCGCAGTGGGGACAATGTGAGGCCAGGACAATGGCCGCCTGTGCGGGCTGCACTGGGGACTGTGGCCCTCCCACCTATGGGGCACCGTGTGGGGCCCTGGGCTGTGCCTGCTGCCTGGGCTGAGCACCCCACCGTGGCCAGCACACGGCTCAGCCCGGCCCAGCAGCGAGCCAGGCTTTCCCCCGAGTGGTCACCTTCCCAGCCACCCCATTGGCATCAAACCCCGAGCCCATGCCAGGACACTGACCTTCCCACCAGGACCTAGGCCAGCGTCCTGCCTCACTCAGCAGACGGACCGGGGAGGCCATGGCACAGAGGCCCCAGGGCAGTGCCCGGAGGAGCACGTGTCTGCGTGCATGGTCACTACTGTGTTTGCATGGGCGAGCATGCGCACAGAAGCCCGTCTACTCACACACCTGGCTCTCCAGCCCTCCACGCCTGCTGCCTGCTCATTAAACCTGGGTTCCCAGCTCAGGACCCTGCGGCCACGGTCTCCCACACAGGGCCACACCACGGTCTACCCAGAAACCCTCTCCCCACCCGGGCAGCAGGCCTACTCTTCCCGACTCGTGCCCCAGCCACCTACTGTGCTCGGCGTGGAAGTGCTGCAGAATCCGGGCCAGCGACCCGCTGTTGGCCAGGTCGGTCAGGGCCCCAGGGCAGCTGGGCACCAGGAGGGCATGGTACCGGGCACCTGTGGGGAAAGCGCAGGCCGGCGGCCACACGTCACTCACAGGGCCAGGCCCCCTGCAGAGGGACCGGCCAGGGCTCCAGGGGGCTCCCTCCGGCTCATGCTGGCCAGATGGCATCCCAAGTCACTTCCCTACATGAGCTGTGGCTCCTGAGGCTGCACACGCCACCCTGTCACAGATCTCCAGAGGAGCAAACTCAGGACCTGTGCCCAGGACGTGGGTGCTGCCCCAGACGACCACACCCTTCGGCAAGCCCGGGGGAAACTCCAATTCAGGCGGGACATCTGAGCCTCCCGGGGCCTCAGGCTCCCACCGGTGGGGGAACAGTGTGCCCTCCCAGCAGGGAGTGGGTCCCGGCTCACCATCGATGGACTCGAGCTTGGCAGGGCTGGCATAGGCCTTAAGGCGGAAGTCTTGCACCCAGCGTGCATTGCTTTCGGTTATATCCACAAAGTCTATGGCCTTCCCCTGCAGGAGCAGAGCCAGAGTCAGGGCCAGGGACGTTCCCGCCAGCCCCAGGGAGCTGGACACGCTGAGGGGCCATGGCCTGACAGTGGCTCTCAGCACAGGGGCACTGACAGGAGCCAGTTTCCCTGGGCACTCTGAATACCAGGCTGCAGCCACGCGGCAAGGCCAGCCACAAAGACCATTGCCAAAATATGACCAACGGACCGAAGGCCTGAACACAGTGGCCTGGTGCAGTTCCACGTCCGAGGGGTAACGCAGGGACTCACCACAGGCTCTGCCACCCGCCTGCTCTGTCCCAGTTCTCAGCCTCCAGCCCAGACATGCGGCAATGGCCCCACACCTCAATGGTGACTTGGAGATGTGAAAGTTAGACACATGGGGCGTTCCTGCTGTCACCACCTGCACCTGACACCCCAGTCCCGTGGTTAGAGGACTGAGAACTCCTCCCAGGGGAAGGAGAAATCCTCCAGTGCACCCCTGCCCTGGGGCCAGCCTCAGCTCCTTTTTGCAGACGTAGAGGGTGAACCCACAACAAGGGGTCTCCCTCGCCACAGGTGGGGTCAGAGTCCGGGAGCTGGGGACCGGGACCTGAGGGTGCCACCAAGTGTGGTCACGCACCCTCATCCCAAGCAAGTTCCTTGGGGCAGCTGGCGGGGGCGCCCCAGGAGAAAACAGCACTCTCTTGATCTTGTCCTTGGAGGGACGGGGACCCTACGACAAGAGGGGGTGGCTGGACTTACCCCAGGGGTGGCCACCTGCAGGTTGAAGGCGGTGCTGGCCAAGGTGAAGCAGTGGAGGAAGGACTGGGCCGACACACCTGCAGGGGGAGGGTCCTGGTGGGTGCACGTGCGAGAGCGCTCATGCCAGCCCAATCCCCAGGCAGGAGGCTGCCTCTCCTGGTCCCAGCGCCACCAGGAAAAGCAACCCCTCCTTGCCACCCTGGGAGCCACCTCTGAAAGTCCTGGGGCACAGTACCCCAGCTCAGGCCCAAAACTTGAGGGTCAGAGGGTGCAGGTCAGAGAAGCATGGCCAACCTGGCTCCAGACGGCCCCACAGGCAGGCCAGGGACCTGCATCTCTCGCCTGACCTCTCCCCACCTCAGCCCTCCAGGCCACACCCCGCACCCCCCACACACAGCCACTAGAGGCCTTAGTCTGGGGCACCCTCAGGGCCCCTGCAGCTCGCTTCCTTCTCCCCTGATCTTGCCTGGAAAGCCAGTCTTCAAGTGGAAGACCCCTGTTCCACCCCGACCCCACCTCCACTGGGACCTCAGGCGCAGGTCAGATCCTGGGACTCAGGTGCACCCCCCATGCACTGAGCACCTGCCTGGACACCCAGCAGATCCGAGCCAGGAGACACTGCCCTGTGAGCCCAGGACCGCTGCCTTCGGCCTTCCCCGCAGCCCGCCCGACAGTCCCTGCAGCCCGCATCTCCGGCCCAGATGGAGGCTGCGACGGACTGGCGCCAGGGGATCGGTGCTGAGTCCAGGTCTGGCCCCAGTGCGCCAGGCCGAGGCTCCATCCTGCTAATGACCCATGTGCTCAGAAAGGGGGGCGTGTGCCGTCCACCTCACACCGGCACAGGGCTCAGCTCCTCGGGACTCCCACTGCCCTCCCCTGCTGCGCCCACACC